TCCGACAATCATCCCTGGTGACCGACCTGCACTTCCAAGGCGACCAGCGATGCGGCCAACTCTCACATCCATCGATCGGTGGTATGTACCAGATGGATCAGATACCGACATCAGCCTGCAGAGGGAATGCGTAAACCAAGGACCTTTGGGGAATTCTAAATTCCTCAATTTCGTGTACGAATACTACAAGGAGTGCTCAACCATCCTCGAGATGAATCCGGATTTCCACTTCAATCCTGAGCATGAACGACCGCATGGAGTCAAGGTCTTCTGGCTGAAAGCCAGGTTCAATGACTATTGGCGGCCAACGCTTCAAGGTGAAGGCCCTCACGCAGAGAAACAACACATGGGCTTCATCAAGAAGGTCTACAGCATTTGCTGCTACACCAATGCTCAGCCAGAAGTTTACGGAACCGACATCATTCCGATGGTATGTCACAACAGCCACATTGATCTCGAGAAGACCGTCCAGAATGTTGAACAGGTTTGCAAGTACTTCAACATGGATCCATCCAAGGCAAAACAGATCACCGACCTCATCCTCTGGCGAACCGAGAGAATGAGCAGATTGTTTTCCGGGTGTCTTCGACATGATCCAAGGCATGGCATCCATAAAGAATGCAAACGACAAGTGGACATGGGTTCTGATGGATCCGTTGAGCTCTACGATGCATTGACCTGCATTACACAGGCCAGGAATTTCATTGGAAACAAGCCAGGACTTCTCTTGATGGCTATGTTCCCGATTTATGGAAAGTCACGTTTCGAGATTGCGTTCGTGTATCCATCCGTGGACGGGCCACACAAGGAGCGCAAGGCAAGGGGAGAAATTGTTCCAAGAAACCGATGGATCGACAAACTCACCACGAGATCCGCATACGATGCACTCCGGCCTAATGGCAAGGAATTCCTCAATGATCCCGACATGGAGTTCTACGTGAGATGCAACAGCGGTCATACACGACAAGTCGATCTCCCATTTTTTTGGACGACCCCTGTACTCCGAGCAGCAGAGTGAGCCTCGCCAAGAAGAACCGGACTATGACCTTCCAACGGAATCCATTCCTCCAAGTCCGCATCCGTCAAGATCAGATGCGCCCCATGAAGACGAAGGCACAGCTCAGGCAAAATACAGAATGCGAAGGCCGGCGCCACCATCCATTGAAGAAGAGAGAAAGATCAAGCCGTTCGGGAAGAAGCCCATCACTTTCATGTTCCATGCAACCTATGGAAATCAACTCATCAGCATCATAGAGAACGGGCTCAGATCTGGGAAATCCCAGTCGAACCCTTCGGGGAGAATGCACGTCCACATGGCATGCATCGACGACGTTATCCTCGACGACGACGAGTCAGAAGCAGCACTCACACATGTGCCAGCAGGAAGAGATGCCCTGTTGATCCTTGCATTCCTCAAATACCAGGACTATAGCATCCGACTCTCCGAAGAGCGAACAGCGCTGACAGAACAAACCATCGAGGCGAAGAATATTGTTGCAGCATATGAACCTGATGGTAGCACCATGATGAGCAACAGCTGGATCATGAAGAAGCTTCTCAGTCGTGAAGATGTTGAGATGTACGACACCAAGATCCGTGAATTCGCCGATGCATTCTTCAGCCATGTAAATTCCGACAAGCACAGCAAGGAAAAAGATACTTCCTCAGAGACCAAGAAGCGACGGCACTCCACCGATCAGGACGAAGTTGAGGAGGAGAACAGGGAACCCTCCGGGGAGAGATCCGTCAAACCAAAGGTCACCATCATGGAGTATCGCAATTCCGAGAACCTAGACGAGTTCATCCAGGAACTCAAGGAAACCTACCTCGACATAGAAATGAGCAAGACGGACGCCGAGGAAGAGCTCGTGGAAACCAAAAGGAACTTCCTCCGCTTCATGGAGAAGCGCAACAAGGATCAAAGGAGAGCTCATCCTAAGTTGACAGAATGCGAGAGAGCCTCATTGGCACACGTCAATCCTGATGTCAATCTCGGAGAAGAAGAGTTCTACTTCCGCCACCAAGGAGAATGTCCCACTATGGACGAGTACAGGCAGGCACAGCCAATATTCGGATATCCTATTGAGCTTCCACTTGGATTGAAGAAGCTTAGGTCACATGACGACCTTGAAATTATCCGAGCATTTGCCGATATCCTGGGATCGCTGATGCAGCCGACCGACCGTCCCCCCGTGGACCATCTCAAGACGCATGAGTTCACCTCTTCCCTGACGATCAACATGCTTACTATGAACCATGGAAACCTCACGAGGAATCCAAAGCTGGACGGCAGGGAGGTGTACAACATGGCGATGAAGGACCGACCAATCGTGAAGATGATGATGCAGAACAGCGCACACATCTTATGCCTCAATGAAGCAGACGCATTCCTCAGTCCTCAAGATGATAAACCCAGAGAACTCATCAAGACGTTCGTCCGATTCGGGTACAAGGGCATCGTTATCAAGCAATGGTCATCCAGACCGATTGCATGCTTTGTCCGCGGCGGACCTTCCGCAAGAGTGGAACTATTGGCAAGACACATTTCCAAAGAGTCAGAATTGGGGAACCACATTCGGGATGTTCAGATTTTTCTTCGGAACCGAGGAAAATTGCACTGATCCTGAATACGACATTCCAACCTCGGACTGCTTGGCAACTACGGGACCATCCATGTTTACTGAGTCCAAGGAGTACATCGGACCGAGATTGCCAACACGCACCACTGTCCAAGGACACGGACGTAACAAAGAGATTGTCGTTCTCCACATCGAGCAGAGTGATGAGTATCGTGGCATGCTCCCAAAATCATCCAACAAATCACTCCTCGAGTTTGGCAGCCGCCACGTAACGAGGGCAGACCTCCCGTTTGCTACCATTGGAGTTTTCCACATTCATCCCTCAATCAGCCATGGAGCAGCACGGGAAGATTTTCAGAACGAAATCCTGCCACTCGTGGCATTGTACCAATGTGATGCGATCACTGGAGACGCCAACAAATCCGCGAATACCTACAGCAGACTCCAGCACGTCTTCAATCCGGCCAATGGTCTCATGAATATCCTCATGAAGGCATATCAGAGATTGTGGAATGAGACGGAGAATCTGCCACTTGTGGACAGAATGGAGTATGCAATGGAGACTTCATGTTGTTCGTCATCACATATACATGAAGACTGGATCAGCGTATGACCGAACATTCCCAGATGTGATGATGACATTCGTGTTTGGATGGGGCAAAACGAATATCCAGCAGGTTTTCCGAAAGGAAGAGATGAACGCCATGAGATGAACAACTGGAAGCCATGCGGAACGATCCAACGTCTGCCATTTTCGACTATCAGGTCTCATCCGCGGAACGCTTCAAGCACGTGAACAACGATATGTTCATGAATGGCTCACAAGATTCCGACTCGCACAGTCCGCTGATGGTCTACACCCGCAGTAGATCTGCCGCCAGGCAACGCAACTTTGAGAGATCCAAGGAGCACCTCAAGAAGAAGCGATCCTGGACTCAGCAAGAGTACAAAGACTACAACAAGCAGTACTGGGGCAATCCAAAGCAATGGAAGGACTATGGCGACTTGACCTGGAATGATTATGGAGACTATGGCAGTCAATCCGACAGCAGCCGTCGGTGGTACCGCTGATCACTTGATGAAGCAGCCACCTTTGGCACTCATTCGACCGACCAAGAAGACTCACACGAACTACAACCAGATTGATAGATTGATCCTCACCGCCAACAAGACTACTCAGTGAGAGATCAATAGTTTCACATTCGTCCCGCATGTACATAGCGTTGCGCATCACCTTTTCGATACATCTAGGTATCTCACAGAATCAGTACAGACTGTTTTCCATTTTGCTCACATGACAAATCATCCGCGCCAAAAATTGGATGAATCATTGTAACAATATATGGCTACGGCCGACACTTTCAAGTATGGCTACGGCACATAAGGCCAAGAAGCCAATCATACACTTTCGGCGTGAAAGGTCAAAAGAAATTTGTGTCTGTTTTGTGTTGCTTTTGGTTGCACCCATTGACGTATTCACACACTCCGCTGACATGTTTGGCTCAAGGCGCTTCAAGTCATTTGTGCAGTCATTCGACACATGGTACAGTGATAAAAAGGCTTGCAGACCGCTTTACAGGACTCACAGTGAACACAAGCCACCAGGGACAATCCATCATCCAATCCTCCATATTGGACTCTCTCCGGAATAGATCCAGGGACCAAATCAACGACCTCTACTGCCACAGCGTACCAGTTTTTTTCTGGGATAGGCACCCCGGCAGTGGGCCTTACCCCCCACCCCCCCACCCCACCCCACCCCCCCACCCCCCCACCCCCCCACCCCCCCCCGGCCCAGCCCAGCCCAGCCCCAACCCAGCCCAGCCACTCAGCCACTCAGCCACTCAGCCACTCAGCCACTCAGCCACTCAGCCACTCAGCCACTCAGCCACTCAGCCACTCAGCCACTCAGCCACTCACTCACCCACTCACCCACTCACCCACTCACCCACTCACCGCTCACCCCAGTCGCCCACTCACCCATTTTTCACTTTTGAGCTCGCGGTATTCTTGCGGTATCAAAATAGTTCAATCTGCTGCGCCAGGCACAAGATCCAACTTTGACACGTTTGCGACACGCATCCAACATTTGCACGGGATGCAAATCAAAGTAGAACTGCAATGCGAACGCGCAACCTTCCAAACCACTGCGCCTGCGCAGCGCAATCCATCATAAACACGCTTCCACGACGAATCCCAACCGCACGCTTGTCGCCTCACCGCCGGGCTGCGGACGGTTGCGAGCTTCGCGAACAACTCGTCGCAAACACGGCCTCCACCCGCAGACTCCATACACACACACACACACATATATATATATATACAAACGCGAACCCTTTGCTACGCATTTCATTTTGGAAGAATGGTTAGTTGGTTTGCCATTTGAATTCCACTTCAGATGTTTTTCTCTGAGAGCCTAAGGCCAGCCACCTCCTCGAGTGCAGCCTGGAATTGGACCAGAGGCAGAACGAGCCGAGGCCCGACTCCGCCCAACTCGCGTGGCCATGAGGTATGCAATCAGCGAGTCGGCCTCGGAGATTGCCAACAACGCAGGCTGGAACCCTTTTTGGTATTTTCTCGTTTTGTTTCTCTTTGCGTTGTTTGTGCTCGGGACTCTTGTTTGCTCTTCGACATGGAGGCGACATTGTTCGGGCTGCCGCTGGGGCGGTGGAGCAGGAGCTGTGCTCAGCAGTACTTTTTAGGGCATTGGACGTCTCTGGACGTTTCTCCGTTTCTTCGTTGAGGTCAACGACGTGACTTCGGATGCCGTCCACAAGGTCTTGCAGAGGCTTGAATTCAGTCCCAGTTCTGCTTGAGAGGTCACGGAAGCTGCATTGAACCGGTCTGCTGCGCTCGTGCCGACCTTGGACCGTGACTGGATCACCGACTCCTGTTGCAGCTTTTTTGCAAGGCGTACGGCGTGGCGACGCAGGCCCTTGTTGTCATGGCAGGTGCTCTTGACTTGGATCAGCATGGCAACTGTTTTTCCAGGTTGTTCGCAAGCCAGTGGAGTCGATTGGCTACCTGTGCTGCTGGGCTGCATGCTATATTTGTTTCATAGAAAGCGCAGGCAGGTATGTCGGCACGAGATTGGTGATTCGATATGATTTTCGAAACTGGAGAAGGCATGTCGACAATTGCACACTTGAGGCTTGGGTTCACGCAAGCCAGGCGTGCGCTCATTTTGCCTGAATTCTATTCTGCAAGCTTTATGTCAGGAAGAATCCGGTATTGACCTGATCCGCTTTTGACAGCGCTTGACGTCTCACTTAGTTTCCTGCAGATGCTATGCTCGCAGTTAGGATTTGAGTTGCGTACGCAGGCTTGTCCGTGCTTGGAATCAGATTGAATTGGTTTGTGGCGGGAATTGGGCTTGCGTTCGCGCTCAACTGTCATGTCCATTGCTTTGAGCCGCTCACGTCATTATTCTTCAAGTCGTCATTGGATTAAATCCAACCAGACTTGTTGTATTCTGACTTCTGGAACGGTGCCTGGTCGATCCTGCCAGACTGTGCTTGGCGCATTTGATGAATATTGCCTTGATGTGTTGAGCTTGTGCTGTGAGCTCTTCATGCTTGAGAGCAACCTGCGGCCCGAATTGCTTTGATGCCTGTGTCCCAGCAAGCCATGCTGGCTCCAGCGTCAACCGTAGCCTGAGAATCACTTGTCCGCGGCTGAGGGGTGGCATCATTCACTTCCGAAGTTTTGGCATGTTGGCGGGCCTTTCAAGCATGTGTCGCAGGCAAGCCTCAGTGGCAAGCTCTCTTTTGTTCATGCCCAAGCACGATGTTCTTTACTCAGTGTTGACGTGCGTTGCGTGTTGCGTTTGATCAAAGCGTGTTTTCCTCGAATCTCGGGAGGTGGGTGCTGGCCGCCACCCTCGGGCTTCTATGCTATGCTTTGCGTGATGAGGCGGTTTTGACAGAACATGCTTTCAGCTGCTTGCCTATTGCACAATTTTGCATGTTGCAATGGCGCTTTCCAGGCAGAGGACTTCCGTCTGGAGCAGCTGCGTGAGCATGAGCTGCCTGGCTGGAGATTGCCTGAGGGCTGCGATTGCCTTGGGGCCTTGGGGTCATGTCAGGCGACATTCCGGTGAGCCCACATTGGGAGAGGCGCGCAGAGTCTGGCAATTGGATCCCTCCAACCTGCGGCAGGAGAAGTCTTTCGCCTTCCTCGAGCCAGAGCCGGAGGAATGTGGGAGCAGAAGAGCAATCCCAAGCTCCCACCAATGAGCGCACTCTGTGTTTCCAAAAGCAATGCAGTTCTCTGCAGAAAAAAAGAAAGAAGAAAAAGCACTTGGAGTGTGAGGGCTGTTCCCAAGCCTTGCAGGATTTGCAGGATGTGCAGAACTTTGCCGCAAAGATCGCAGGCGACAGCCGGCAAGGCCAGACCTGTTTCCTGTTTGCACTTGCTTTGGGCCACTGTAACTTGGCGTCTGTGGGTTGTGAGTCTGGAGCATTCCTATTTTGTGCATGCTTGATTTTAGTTCATCTGTGATCAGAGGGGGATTGATCCATTCGAGGTTCTCTTGCTCCTGGCATGGAGTTCCCTTTGTTTGGTGTCCAGCTATTTTTACCTCGAGGCTTTCTCTCTGCCGGTCTTTCAGGGTGGCGAGTCGCACGCCACTTGTCTCCAGGCCAGCGCATTCGCGAGAAGATCGCGGCAGATCCAGGCAGGACCCAATCCCCAGGTGTTCATATGAAAGATAGCCATGGTATCTACAAGCCGAAGGCCCCAACCTGTAGACACATAGACGAGCTAGGACATATCAGGTTTTCGGGCATGGCCTGGTAACTAACGTAATTGAACGTGCATTTGTTTTGCTGTCGTACTTGCAATTCTGCGCGGGTCTTTCGAAGAAGTGAGCCAACGCCGCCTTTGCCTTTTGCTCTAAAGCGCCTTTGCGGCACTTTCAGTT